TGTAGGATTCACAGTTTGTCTGATTTGTGTTGACAACTACCGTTCTACCGTACCGTATACGGGTAATAAATTTCCTTTCTTTTCATTTAACAATAAATGTGTACCGCATTCTTCTTCGTGAAAAAATAAGACATCCCCTGAAAATAAGACCTAGCGCATCTTTGGGAGCAAAAATTAATATAAGAAAACTGTCTTATTTTCGGGGAAACAGGGTATATATATATTTGTATTTAACCCAATGTATCCAAGATAGTATCCCTTCAACATGCAATTCATATAAAAGTATAAGTGAGATAGTTCGCATTCTTTTTTTTTTTTTTCCATGCTGCCTTCGAAATTTGGTATGTATATCACGCATCCAGCGCATCTCAATTTGGGTTAGTCACTTGGTCGTCCAGGTCAGTGTAGTCCACGCCTGTTACCCCTTGGGGATGGCCTTCCTAATCACAGAAGACAACATCTAGAAGATGAAATGAAAAGACGGACAGGTTCCCTACAAAAAGGAAAAAGGAAATGTTATTTGGAAAAAGACACCTGCGGGCAACTAGCACCCACCGAGAGCTCCAGGAAAACCCGGAGAAGTGGAGTATCGCCGGGTCGGGAGTCGGACCGGGGGCCTTGGCGACGCAGCTGCTCTGCGCCTGCGCCGGGTGTTTGGCGCATGCGCAGTAGCTGCGGTAGGGTTGTCCTCCAGCCCCTGACGTCCCGTTGACTGGGAGACAGCGGTACTGGACGCCTCGAGGGACCTGTTGCTTAATAACGCGGGTTTTTTTTGTTTTGTTTTGTTTTGTTTTGGGGGGGGGAGTGTTATCCCTCAGTGTCTTTCGACTAACTCTGTTTTCCAGGCCTGTTCAGCGTAAGTAAGCTTCTCCCCCGAGGGTCAGGGGCAAGGGCAAATCCTGGGCAGATGCCCTCACTCCACCCCCTTTGCAGAGATTTGCGGGGATTCGAGGGATTTCTGTGCAGAAAAGATTAGCGTGGATCCGTTTCGGACCCGGGTTTGTGAGTGTCAGCATTTCCATTGTGGAGATGAGATTTTTTTATTATTTATTTTCATGCTCTGGGGTCTTTAGGGGGCTCTATTTTGTGAAAATCACAAGGCAAACCTAGACTGTTTGTGGGTGTAGGGCACCCACCGTGAAAGACTGTCTTAACACCTACAATTAAATTTCATAAAAATAGCAGGCACTCCTGCTGTCTTCCCTATACCTCTGTAGACGTGCTTGCTTTATTTGTTTCCCTGAAAATAGACAGACTTGCTAGTTCGAAACAAGTTTGGCTTTTTTATTTATTTATTTTATTTTATTTTTTAATATATTTTATTGATTTTGTACAGAGAGGAAAGGAGAGAGATAGAGAGTTGGAAACATGGATGAGAGAGAGTCATCGATCAGCTGCCTCCTGCACACCCCCTACTGGGGATGTGCCCGCAACCAAGGTACATGCCCTTAACCCGGGACCTTTCAGTCCCCAAGCCGACGCTCTATCCATTGAGCCAAACCGGTTTCGGCTTGTACGTTTGGCTTTTAATGCGATTTTTATAACCACCACTTTGCATCCTTCTGACAGTGCTCAAGACTGTGTTCTCACACTCCAGCCAGATTTGGGCAAACTCTCTCACCTGTGCCAATCTCACAAATGAACAGTCATTTCTCATGGTTTTTGTTTGCATTTCTCTCATACATAGTGAAGTTGAGCATTTCAAGCATTTACCAGCTATTGCTTTTCTTTTTTTTTTTCTTTTCTAGGAATTGCTTGTTCGTGTCCTTTGCTCCCTTTTCTATTGCATTATTCATCTTTTACCTATTGATGCATAAGAGCCCTTGTGTAACAAAAATGAGCTCATGTGTCTAGAATGTTATACAAATGTTTTGTCAAACATCTTTTCGCATTATTTATGGTGTTGTGACTATACAGTCAAAACTGTATGTATTATATGATATATGCAGTCAAATGTATCAGTACATTCTTTTATGGATTCTTGTTTTTCATCATGCTTATAAGCCCTTCACCAAACTTATAAAACATTCCACCCGTTTTACTCCCATACTTGTAGAGTTTCATTCTTTACTTTGAAAATCATGCTCTGATTTGGAATTTGTATTGATATAAAGAATACAAAAAGGATCCAGCATTTTTAAAAATTACCAATTGCCCCGCCATTTATATCTAATTGACTTTCCCCCAAGATTCGAAATAGCTCTATTGCATTTGGTTCTAGCTCTAGGATTTATTTGATTCCCTTAATTTGTCTAATTCTGCCCAGGACTGAACGGTTTTAATTACTATAATTTTATAGCCTATTTTGGTAACTGGTAGGAGAGTTATCTCTGCTCGTGGTTCTTTTTTCAGAATTTGCTCCGTTGTGCTCACATTTTTTTTTTTATATTTCCAGATTAACGTGAACTTTAGCATCATTTGGTTGTGTTCCAAAGATAAATCAGTATTTTGATCGCACAATCATTAATCCGCATATACTCGCCAACTTTATACAGAATTCAAGATACTCTCTACTCTCCCAGGCTATGAAAGGAGGGAGGGAGGGAAGCAGGGAGAGAGAGAGAGAGAGAGAGAGAGAGAGAGAGAGAGACAGCGGTCATGCAACCTTTTTTTCATATATACCCAAAGCCTTTTCTTTTAAATCATATTCAAGCCCAGAATATGATTTAAAAGAAGCTGTCGTATAATTCAGGGTCATATTGGTTATCACAGAATATCCTCGGGGTAAAAATAATGTTGCAAAACCTATAGGAAGTTTTTAGCCAGTATCATTCAGTGCTTACCTCGTGCTGGGGACTGTCTTACGTGCTTTACATGTGTTTCTTGTATAATAATTACAGCTCCGTGCTTTCGGTACCATTGTGAGCTCCATCTTACAGATTGAGGCACAGAGAGTTTACGTGGCTCTCCTAAGGTCACACAGCTTGTATGTGTCAGAGCCATGATTTGGACACTGGTAATTGTCTCCAGTGCCTATAACCATTATGCTGGTTTTCAGTAAACTCGCATAAGACAGATCAGGCTCCCTTACTGTATGGTGTTGTTCTAATTGTTCACAGTTACTAGTATCACTTACCTTTGAGCCAGGTAAGCAAACGGGAGTGTTTTAGGACCCAGAGGAGTATAAATGGTAGAGAAGGAAGTAGGGTGAGTTTAATCTGAGCTGCTATAAGGAAGTTAGTTTATTTGCATTTTGGCCTGGTTCTCTATCAGTCGGTACCTGCTACAGGTAATTCTCATTTGGGGTCTGGGTAGGGTCCCAATTAAAAAGGTTAAGAGGAACCTCTGTTACAGATTTTGCATTTTGATCATATAATTAGCTACATTTTCTTTATGCAAAGAGCCAACATTGTATTCATTTGTTTAAAAAATATGTAAGAATAATATTAGGATTAGGGGACAGTAACATTTTTAAAAATATATTTTTTATTGATTTTTTAGAGAAGAAAGGAGAAGGATAGAGAGTTAGAAACATCGATGAGAGAGAAACATCGATCAGCTGCCTCTTGCACATCCCCTACTAGGGATGTGCCAGCAACCAAGGTACATACCCTTGATCAGAATCGAACTTGGGACCTTTCAGTCCGCAGGCTGATGCTCTATCCCTGAGCCAAACCAGTTTCAGCAGTAACATTTTTATTTACTAATTCAGTTTGGACCGAAGAAATTCTTCAGAGGAAACGGTAGACATGTTTTCCTATTTGCCAATTGGAAGAGATTTATAGGATCTCTTTGTAAATCATAGTTCGCTTTGCACCAGACCTCATTTTCTGCATTCGCATAAAACTGATGTTTGTTCCTAGATGGTGGTTCGTATATATACGTTTTCTGAATAATATAGGAGAACGACAAAGCCTACCAATTTTTCTTTGGAAGAAGTGACCGTGGATTTGGCAAAAAGAAAGGGAAGTGGTTTGGTCATATAGAAAGCCTGGCAAGGCTGTAGTGCCTGCTCTGCCTGCTCAGCCGGCTCGAAGGTAAACAATACCTGAGAACAGTAAGAACCACCACCTGTCAACAATTAGAACAACACTATACAGTAAGGGAGCCTGATCTGTCTTATGGGAGTTTACTGAAAACCAGCATAGTGGTTACAGGTCTGTCTTCCTCAAGGCTGTCTTACATAAGACAGGGACTGAGTGTGCAACACATTAAAATAGCCTCATGGCCCTAGCCAGTTTGGCTCAGTGGATATAGCGTCGGCCTGTGGACCTGTTGCTTCCATGTGTCTCTTCTGCAGAGAGAGACAACTTAGAGTTTATTGAGAAGTATTGCCAAAAATGGGGTCTCCAAAATGATCTCTATGGTTAAATGAGGCAGTCCCATGTAAGCATGCAGTATACACTGAGTGGCCAGATTATGATGATCTCTGAATGCATAATAACCTGGCCACTCAGCAGAAACCAGTTTGGCTCAGTGGATGGAGCATCAGCCTGTGGACTGAAAGGTTCGGGGTTCGATTCCTATCAAGGGCATGTATCTTAGCTGTGGGCACATCTCCAGTAGGGGGTGTGCAAGAGGCAGCTGATTGATGATTCTTTCTCATCGATGTTTCTGACTCTTTCTCTTCCTCTCTGTAAAAAATCAATAAAATATATTTAAAAAAAATAATAGTCTGGCCACTCAGAGTATATCCTAATAATCTGGCTACTCAATGTATAGCCTATATAATGAAAGGCTAATATGCAAATTATCTCCTTTACCAGCAGGCAGGCCGGCCAACCGCCCATGTTCCCTCCCCCTGGCCATGCATGAATTCGTGCACTGGGCCTCTAATACACACACACACACACACACACACACACACATACATACACACATACATACACACACATATACACGCACACACACACTGAGTGGCCAGATTATTATGCGTTCAGAGATCATCATAACCTGGCCACTCAATGTATACGTACTGAATTGAATTCAAATAAATAAAAGCCAGTGGTTGGCTTTGAAAGTAACAAAACCTTTCTCTCCCTTTCCCTATAGGGCTGACCATGGCTTCCGGTCCCACCGTGCTGATGCGGTTGGTAGCCTCCGCATATTCCATAGCTCAGAAGGCAGGAACCATCGTCAGACGTGTGATCGCCGAAGGGGACCTGGGAATCGTGGAGAAGGTACTGAGGAACTCATCGTATTTCGTACTGACTTCGCTTTTTTGGTCCTTGAGGTTTAGCTCAAGGATGTATTAATCTGGACAGACTTTAGTAGCTGAAATCATCAATGGCTCCCTTCTGGAGAGTGCAGAATGGTGAGGTCTGACACTCTTATCAGTAGGAAGAGCAGGAAATATTTGCCCTAGCCCAGTGGTCAGCAAACTCATTAGTCAGCAGAGCCAAATATCAACAGTACAACGATTGAAATTTCTTTGGAGAGCCAAATATTTTAAACTTAAACTTCTTCTAATGCCACTTCTTCAAAATAGACTCGCCCAGGCCGTGGTATTTTGTGGAAGAGCCACACTCAAGGGGCCAAAGAGCTGCATGTGGCTCGTGAGCTGCAGTTTGCCTACCACGGCTTTAACCTGTTTAAGCAAAAAAAAAAAAAAAATGATCTAGAGGTCTTATGAAAGCAATATTCTTTTTGTAAAATATTGTTTTTATTGATTTCAGAGAGAGGAAGGGAGAGGGAGAGAGAAACCTTGATAGAGAGAAACATTGATCAGCTCCTCACGCCCCCTACTGGGGATGGAGCCCATAGTCCATGCATATGCCATGACCAAGAATCCAACTTCTACCTCCTCATGCGCGGGATGACAGTCAACCCACAGAGCCATACTGGCCAGGTGTGACAGCAGTTTCTGAACTGGGAAGAACATCTTCTGATAATTTGAAAGCTTCTCTCCAAACCTTTACCACTTTGAATCCCCTGAGAAAAACCAAGACAAGAAAATATTATAGTTGAGCCGACGCCGGTTTGGCTCAGTGATAGAGCGTCGGTCTGCGGACTGAAAGGTCTCAGGTTCGATTCCGGTCAAGGGCATGTACCTTGGTTGCGGGCACATCCCCGGTAGTGGGTGTGCAAGAGGCAGCTGGTTGATGTTTCTCTCTCATTGACGTTTCTAGCTCTCTATCTCTCTCCCTTCCTCTCTGTAAAAATTCAATAATATATATATGTGTGTGTGTGTGTGTATGTGTGTATGTGTGTGTGTGTGTGTATATATATATATATATATATATATGTATATGTATATGTGTATATGTATATATATATATATATATAAAGAGTTGACCATTTGATGTTAAGTCCCGTAAATCTAACAATAGACAGTGTCATTTAAAGGATACAGACACTCGTGCCTTAGGCATCGAAGGGTGACCTTGCATACAAGCTCTGCTAACGCGTGCCTCTCTGTTGCAGACCAGTCCAACGGACCTGCAGACCAAAGCCGACCGAATGGCACAGATGAGCATCTGTTCCTCCCTGGCCCGGAAATTCCCCAAACTCACAATCATAGGGGAAGAGGTGAGAGTTGGCAGGGATATGGTATTTATTTAGTTATTTATTTATTTTAATTTTTTTTTTATTATTGATTATGGTATCACATAATTGTCCTCATCCCCGCTATGGTATTTATTTAAATGCCTGTTTACCATATGGAAGTCCAACTGCCACTTTAGTGATTTACATACCACTGTTACAAACTCAAGCATTAGATCTACTATTATTAAAAATATATATCTTTTATTGATTTTTTTTTTTTTTTTTTTTTTTACAGATAGGAAGGGAAAGAGAAAGAGAGTTAGGAACATCGATGAGAGAGAGTCATCGACCAGCTGCCTCCTGCACACCTCCTAACTGGGGATGTGCCCGCAATCAAGGTACATGCCCTTGACCGGAATCGAACCTGGGCCCCTTCAGTCCGAAGGCCGACACTTTATCCACTGAGCCAAACCGGTTTCGGCAATGTATCTACCAATTTTTAATGCTAACATGATTATATTCCTTAAGACTTGAAGGAAATGTTTGATTATGAAATATTGTGGTCCATTTCTAGGCCAGATGTCTCAGTTCTTGACCATCAAAGATATGGTGTCTGTTATAATATTCAGCATCTGTACTAGAAGATGAGCAGAGTTCTAAAAGTTTAGAATAAGATAGGTTTTGATTCTGGTTTTATTTTGTTTTCAAAATGTATTTTACTGATTTTAGAGAGGAAGGGAGAGGGAGAGAGAGAAACATCCGTGACGAGAGAGAATCATTGTTCAGCTGCCTCCTGCACGCCCCACACTGGGGACCCTGCCCCCATCCCCGGGCATGTGCCCTGACCAGGAATCGAACCATGACCTGGTTCATAAGTCGACGCTCAACCACTGAGCCATGCCTGCAGGGCTTCTGTTTTTCTAGTTAGGCTTACTTACACACTTATCCGAACACCCTAACACTGGAAAAATAAAAGAATGGATGTCTCGTGTAATTGAGCGAGAAGTAGCTGATATCAGAACCACTTCTTTTGATAAGTCTAAAAATTCTTTTCCTCTCTGTTGAGCATAATGATGTTGGCACTCTCTGTAGTCAGCTTTGACGAGCCCCATCTGGTCGTGTTCGCAGTTTTACTCGGTTTGCTTTAAAGCTCTGAACCTCTGGATGTGGAGAGAGTAGAGCGCCTGAAGAATGGCTCCTTTGTTGCCGGGACCGGTGTGGCTCAGTGGATAGAGCGTCGGCCTGTGGAATGAAAAGTCCCGGGTTCGATTCTGGTCAAGGGCATGTACCTTGGTTGCGGGCACATCCCCAGTAGGGGGTGTGCAAGAGGCAGCTGATCAATGATTCTCTCTCATCGATGTTTCTAACTCTCTATCCCTCTCTCTTCCTCTCTGTGAAAAATCAATAAAATATATTAAAAAAAAAAAAAAAGCTCCTTTGTAATAAACACATCCAACAGCAACTTGGGCTCACTCCTCACAGATGGCAGGATACCATGACCTTCCTGTGATTTTACACCATATATATATATATATATATATATATATATATATATATATATATATATATATAAAATAAATAAAAATAAATAAAGCTCTGAACCTAAATGGTAGGACCAGGGAAAACGGATGCTGTGATCTCTTCTGTCACTGACACTGAAGCGCTCCGTAGACACTCAGCAGCAGCAGTGACCCGTGTTCTCTCTGCAGGACCTGCCGTCCGAGGACGTGGATCAGGAGCTGATCGAGGACGGCCAGTGGGAAGAAATCCTCAGGAAGCCCTGCCCGGCCCAGTACAGCGCCATTAAAGAGGAAGATGTATGACCCACGTCATGGCTGAGCTCTCTGTGCACCGATCTTGGTGGTCTTTTTGTGTTTGTTTCTAGCCTATGATGACGGGAAGTTGGTAGTTATACAATAGGGACAGCCGGGCCTTGGGAAACTTTCAGAGCCAACGTGGAGTGTCAGGCACCACATGGAATGCCTGGCCTGTTCATTTAGAGTTCGGTTTCTCATGCTGTTGTTTTCTTCTTCTTCTTCACTCTAAAGCTATTATTAAAATGATTTTTAGGGAGAAAATCTAATTTTTAAAGATATATATTTTATTGATTTTTTTTACAGAGAGGAAGGGAGAGGGATAGAGAGTTAGAAACATTGATGAGAGAAACATCAAACAGCTGCCTCCTGCACACCCCCTAATGTAGGGATTTTTTCTAATGTAGGGATTTTTTCCATGACTGCAAAACAATACAATTCTTTTTACTACCACGAAAGTGATGACACTGGCGTAAGCCATCCATAATACAGTTTCAGAACTGAAATAAAAAGGGAGTTGTTTTGATCACTCTATTTAAGTCTTTTCTTCATATATATATATATATATATATATATATATATATTTGAGACTTAATATTTCCTTGTGTCTTTTAGCTCGTGGTCTGGGTCGATCCTCTGGATGGCACCAAAGAGTACACGGAAGGTTGGTACCTCTTTCCTTTGTATTGGAAGCAGGAGGGCCTGTGATGTTGAGTGTAAACATTTACTGTTTCCCATGTTGTGTGGAAAGCCGGTGTTACGTGTCATGTGTGTGTTCTCAAGCTCTATCTGTGCCCATCCTAGCTAACTGAGGTTATACATCAGTGATTGTCACAAGACAAGAAATAAAATTCATCTCCTTCTAGAACCTCCAGGCCCCTCCTTCCACACATAGTCTACCAGCCTCCCAATTCTAATGGCCTTACGTGAGAATAACTAACATTGAACCAGTGTTACCAGACGGAACCCCAGTTTGGTTGGTGTAGAACCCCAACACACACACACACACACACACACACACACACACACTGTCCCCTCCCTGTCTTCCTGTACAGCCTCCCCTTTACAGATGGATTTGGAAACACAATGTAATATTTCTCTCTCCTGAAATGACTGAAGATGAGGAAAAGAACAAAGCAGCAAATTAACATAAAATGGGCAATATTAGCCTAAGCAAGACCAGGCTCATTGCCCCAAGTTTGAGATTTTACGAGCATAACGTAAGGGTTGAGTTTCATTTCTACAATAAACATCTGCCTGGTTTTTCTTACGTTGGTTCTCAGCTTCATGCGTTGAAAAAAGAACATTTCTCATAATTACTAGAGAAAACTTCTCTGTCCTTGGAGGAGACGTATCTGCAATGAGTGAGTCCTGCAGAGTGTGTGCATGTGTGTGCATGTGGGTGTATGTGTGTGCACTGAATGGTTCTCCACTGAGAAACGGGGAGGCTCTGGACAGCTTTCGGGTACACGCAGCACCTACACAGCTTCTCTAGATCCCCACTTCCCCCCACCTCCCCCCACCTCTGGAGATTTTGATCGCTGGTTCTCGGAAAGAGCTTGAGAACCTGTATTATAAAAGCGACTCCAGCAGGCTGGAGTAAACTGGAAGGCAGGGATCCAAGGATAATGGCTGTGGAATTATGGCTGCTCAATTTTATTGGTTTTCAGAGTGTACTGATGAGACCAGGTGTAGCAAGCCAGTGTAGTGGTCCTAGACCCCTTTTCCTCTCTCTGGCCAGCTCTCTTATAGTTTGTGCATTTTGCCAGAAGTTGGGTTGATCATAGATGAATCCCTGTGGATCCCATAACCTTTCCAGCAAAAATAACTCGCAGCAATTCACGTGCTGATGACGAGTCATAACAGGAAAAAGTTACAGAATAATTGATACTCATTTCTTCTCTATAGGTCTTCTTGACAATGTAACCGTTCTTATTGGAATTGCTTATGAAGGGAAAGCCATAGCAGGAGTTATTAACCAGCCGTATTACAACTACCAGGTATGACTCTAACTGATACGGTTGTGTGTGTTTTTTGGTGTTGCTTTTTTTTTGTGTGTGTGTGTGTGTGTGTGTGTGTGTGTGTGTGTGTGTGTGTCAGAAGTGGGATACAGTTGTTTGTTTGTTTGTTTTATGTGTGTGTGTTTTTTTTAATGCAACAAGGACAGAGTTTATTTCAAGAGGCAGCCAGATGAGAAGGGAGAAAGCCTGACCGCTTCCCCCAGGCAGATGAAGGTTTTTAGGGAGCTGAAAAGGTGTCTTTTCCTGCAAAGGGAGAGGAACCAAACAAGTCCAGAATCAGGTAAAGGGAGTTAGTGATTTGGCCTGGAGGGCAGTTTTCATGGGGCTCCTTGCTAATTCTCTGCATCTGCACCATGTGGTGCGTGGTGTCTGAGGAGCCATCCCCTGTTAGGACAGACTTCTTGGACTCTTCTGGGTTTCCCTCCGTATTATCATTAGATTCAGTCTCCTGATTCCCGATGTTGCAACAGACAAGCCACGTTTCAGCATCTCCAGGCCTCAATGGCACCTGCTCGCCTTTCTTTCCCACTGAAATCACTTCTGAGGGAAGCCAGATGCCAGGAAGCAAGGCTCCTTGAGCAGGCTATGGAGGGGTCCAGGGGGTCAAGCAATGGAGGACTCTCGCCAGTGACCAGTGAGGACGGAGCCCTCACTGTGCACCTGGCTGTGCTCTCCTGCTCTCTCATGTGGACATGAGAGCTGAGCTGAGGCGGCCAGCAGGTCGACGTTGCCCACACATGGCAGCCCCCACTAGCAGGGAGGTGGCGGGAGAGCCACACACAAATATTTTATTAGATCAATAATAATAGTGTGATATGGTTCCTGATACTATCCAGTCTAGTGGTTTCTAGCTTGGTTGCACATGCATTCATCTTTTCCAAATATACCCCACACCTCTGGAATCAGAACTTCCGGGGGCATTGGTACCAGAGATGCATGTATAAGGTACATAGCGCATGCCTTAACACTCAAATTCAGACGTTTGGGAATTACCGGTGCGGTTCTGGACTAGCCTGGTCATTGAGACGCCTGACTTACAGGCGGTCCATCCAGCACATTGAAGAAGTGAGCCATTCGAACCGAGAGAGATGCTAGCCATGTTGTTTTCCAGGTAATACTGCCTCGCACCTAGACTATAGTCAGCAGTGAAGCAGAACTAAGGATTCTCTTGCACCCTTCCTTCCTCTTCCTCTCTCTCTGATGGAGTTGGGCTTTCTGCTATCCTCCCAAGAAATTGTCTTCCTTAGAAGCGGGCGATGAATGTGTTTTCGAAGCAGGAATAGATCATTAGATTCCATTAAAGTTAAAGGATGTGATTGAGATAATTACTTGAGGTATTGGCATGAGTCTGACCCTGAAAGAACTTTGGAGAAACGAAGTTACGGAGTGAGGACTATTCCTTCTGAATTTCCAATCTGAGTTGAGGGCAAGCGTAACCTCTACTTCTAAGATAGTTTTGTTTTATTCTGCCATTTGCACGATAATAACTATTTGTAATCAGTAAAGTTTCTCTTATTAAGTATCCACTAATTACTTTGCTATGGCTTTAATGTTTATGGAATATTTTATACAGATACAAGTCTGTGGCCATTATGGAAACTTTAAAATAAGTTAACACTGTGGCTTGAAAGAGACACTTTTAAAATATATATATATATATTTTATTGATTTTTTTTTTTTTACAGAGAGGATGGGAGAGTGATAGAGAGTTAGAAACATCAATCAGCTGCCTCCTGCACACTCCCCACTGGGGATGTGCGCGCAACCAGGCGCATGCCCTTGACCGGAATTGAACCTGGGACCCTTCAGTCCGCAGGCCGGCACTCTATCCACTGAGCCAAACCAGTTAGAGCAAGAGAGACACTTTTATTCCTAGATTACATTGTAATGCATGGCACCTTTCATCAAAAAAGGATCTGAGTGCTTAGAAGTTGTTAATAATGTCCAACCCTCCCATCCCTTCTGAGATGAGAAAAATTGTATTCGTTTTCCACAGAACAGTGACAAGCAGAAGTTGAGGGAGCACAGGAAGGAAGCCACGGTGAGCAGAATAGCTAGGGTTTGGCTCCACTAGTTGGCAGCAAAGGTAGGAAACCCGTGTCGCCAGCCTGTCCTCATGGAGCCCACGCAGCCTCTCCTCTTCTGTTCTGCTTCTCCCCTTTGTCGCTGGTCCCTCCACCACATTCCCTTCTGTATGCTCTCCTTATCCTTCTTCCTTCCCTTCTTCCTAGAGTCCTTGGTCAGGCTATTTAATGGTTCCAATCTCTTTTTTTTTTTCCTGGTCTGTAAAATAAGGATGATAACACCTACTTCATGGAGTTGTTTTGGAGATTAAATGTGATACTACATGTAAAGCACTTCGTATGTGTCAAGTATTCAGTAACATACTTATGTCTGTATGCCTTCCATATATATCTATTATCTATAATAATAAAAGCATTAATATGCTAATTAGACCAGATAGTTGAATGACCTTCTGGACGAATTTGCATGAATTTTTGTGCACTGGGCCTCTAGTGTTTAATAATGCTCTTTTAATGACTACATTAATCATTTTATGCATCAGTGTTACTTGGCATGAAATAGCAGTTATGTTTTTCTACGTGAAGTGCATAGTCATAAACAATGTGGTGGAAAATGCTTCGAGCTCTGCGGAGGCAAGTACAGATTCTAAGGCTGCGTCGTCATTGTCATTTTACAACCACCATTGGCAGTGAAGTCTGTGACCTTGACCTCCATTATCCAGCATTAACCTGGCTGCTCTTAGGTATCAGCTCGTTCAGCTGTTCTGTCTCTGTAGCACCAAAATGCATTAGCACCACCGCCTATGCCCATGTCAACGTGATCCCGCCTGCTTCTCAGATATTGAAAAGTACTGATCAATGCATGCGTTTCATTTCCTGGGGACTTAAGTGCCTTTTGCAAAGAGCTATTTCAAATACGATAATGAGCTTATTTGATGATTCAGAGAGCAGCAGGCATTACCCTATCTCCTTTCCGGGGACTCCAGGGAATAACCAGACGTTCCCTTCTGTGCCTTTGAAACCAAATTATCCACCAAAACAGCAATGAGAACAACCCGTTGCTTCTCTAGGGGAAATTTCTCTGTCGATGATGCTGTCTTTGCGCTCTGGTATAACATGATCGTGTTTTTATGATCTAAAGTTCGGATGCTACGCTAGCTCAATGTTCTATTTGCGACTGCCATGTTCTCCCGGTAATCACAGGCCATGCTGGTATTTCCCACAGGCAGGGCCGGGTGCTGCGCTGGGGAGGACAATCTGGGGAGTTCTGGGCTTGGGTGCCTTCGGGTTCCAGTTGAAGGAAGTGCCCGCCGGGAAGCACATCATCACCACCACCCGGTCCCACAGCAACAAGCTGGTCACCGACTGCGTCACTGCCATGAACCCCGATGACGTGCTGCGTGTGGGCGGGGCGGGAAATAAGGTACGAAACAGTCCGACACCCCCTCGGAACGCAGTGGGATCCCTGAAAGGAACACAGCTTTTAACCACTGTCCAAGAGGAGTTTAGGAGGAGAGATTAAAGGTTGTAATTGACCATGTAGAGCACATTTCAGCAACATTTTTGAATTTTTTTTTTTTAAACGTGAAGGTTCAAATCTCTTGTGAAGACAGTTAAAGAGAAACTATGTCAACTGGCCGGTGTGCCCAATGGTTAGAGCTTGGCTGGCCAACAGAGGGTCTCAGATTTGCTTCCCCCCAACCCTTTTGAGGCTCATGTGGGAGGCAACCAGTCAGCGTGTCCCTCTCACATAGATGTTTCTCTCTCCCTCCCTCCTTTGTAGCTTATTGACTACTTTTTCCTCCTTGGATGTTATGCTGTGTGTATTCTGTGTGTTTCTCCATAATAGTCTTGTCACTTAAACCTACTGAAGGCTTTCCCCTAAGTGGAGTCTAACAGAGGAGTTGAAATAGATTTCACAGAAGCAAGCAATTCTCTCATGGTCGAGGGATAATTACCGTCGTTGACTTTACAGATCATTCAGCTGATTGAAGGCAAAGCCTCTGCCTATGTGTTTGCAAGTCCTGGCTGTAAGAAGTGGGACACTTGTGCTCCGGAAGTTATTCTACACGCCGTGGGAGGTGAGTCCATTTTATTAGCGGGAACTATAGTTTTTGTGGTAATGCCACTTTACCTAGACTCTCAGGATATAGGAGCTAGAAGGAAAGTTAGCGATTATCTTCCTTCTCCAGAATTAATTGGGCATTATTGCACAGGGAAGCAAGGGGCGCTTACAAATAATGAACTGTAATGGTAGAATCGGCCATTAACGTCCCGTGTTCTTTCTGTAGGCAAGTTAACCGATGTCCATGGCAATGCCCTTCAGTACGACAAGGAAGTGAAGCACATGAACTCCGCTGGGGTCCTGGCCTCGCTGAGGAACCATGACTACTATGCCAGCCGAGTTCCCGAATCGGTTAAAAACGCACTCGTTCCTTAAGGCATGTCTCGTTGCCTTAGCTAGGGGGACAGCTGCAGGAGGAGAGAGAGGAGAGAGGACTGCGTTCCCGAAGTCTCAGCCTTGGATGAAGATGTCCTAGAAGTTGATCCTGACACTAAGGAAATGCTGACACCCTTGGACTTGGGCAATCTGTCCAGCCTGCAGGTCACTCAGCTGACCATTGAGATGAATTTCAAGACATCACGTGGAGCCGTTGGACTCTGCTGTGCTGCAATATTATCAATAAACCAATTATCAGAGCCCCACCTTTACTTTATTCTGCATTGATCAGTGATCTGTTTTTAGGTACTTAGTAGGAAATAGGTTTTAAGAACTTGATGATTAATTCATCAACCAGACCAATTTTAGCATCTGGAGAATCTATAAAGTCTGTGACATTTCCGTCCCTCCTTTTATTGGGAGAAAAGAAAAGTTTAGTTCCAACCGACTATCCTAGTCAGTTGTTTAATCAACATTCCTATTGTATGAACCAGATTTTTTAGGGCACAGAAGCACAAGCTGTTACCTGAATCTCATTCTTCTTTTCATAGTGATTTTTAAAAATTTTCCAGTTACGAATATACTAAAATATGATGTATGTTGGTGAAACAGATTTATGGAAAAATGGCTTCTTTATAATAAATTATTTCATTCTAACTTGTCTCTGTCCAGTGCTTTTATTTTTTTCAATTTAAATGGCAGTTGACATGCAATTTTGTATTAGTTTCAAGTGTACAACATAGTGATTAGACATTTATATAACTTAAAAAATGATCAACCCTGTAAGTCTAGTACCCATCTAACTGCTTTTAAATAAATTGTTCCGTTATTGGATTAAGCAAGTGGCTGAAATTAATTATTCCCAATCCCCACTGCATCTCAGAATCAGCCTAGGAAGCTTTGCAAAAATAGTCACAGGCTCCATCCAGCAATTTTGATTCTGAATCATTTAAGACTACTCCAAGAATTCACTTGGCATTAAAATTCAGAACTCCCTTGATGAGGTAGTATCATTTTACGGAGAGCATCTGTAATCGAGCCTGAAGTGGTCCTGGCTTTGGCACCGCTACTCCCTTCTGCAGCTTTCCTCTCTTCATCCTGATATTTTCCCTCCCTTTTCTACTAATTCCTTCTCAGTTTCCTTTCTCGGATTTTCTTTATCTTCCTTCCCTTAAGTGTCAATATTCAGGAATTAGACAAAATTCCTACAATCAGGAATTAGACAAAACTGTTGTTGTTCAACATCATCATGCCTCTTTATTCAACATTATATTGAATTCCTAGACAAGGAAAAAGATGACCTATAAAGGATACATATATTGGATAGAATCCAGCCAGTGTGGCTCAGTGGTTGAGCGACCAACAATGAACCATGCCTGGTTTGGGGCTCAGGCCCCAGTAGGGGGCACGCAGGAGGCAGCTGATCAACAATTCTCTCCCATCATTGATGTTTCTATCTCTCCCCCCACCTCCCTGAAATCAATAAAAAATATAGTTTTTAAAAGATATTGGATAGAAGGAAAAATTATCCAGAAAATGCAGCCTAACTAGAACTCTTGGAACTAATTAATAAAAGCATCCAACCAGATCACTATCACTAAGACGCTTACTGCTAGGGCAGAGGCCGGAAGCGGGGCATGGAGTAGGGGACACGTTGCGGGACGCACAGGGCGCGCGGCGATGACGTCAGCAGCGCGCGCCGGGACGCGGCGGCCACGGCGCAGGGGGCGGGGCGAGGGCTGCGGCGGCTGCGTCGGGCGTGCGCACACCTTGCGGCTTCTCCCCGTTGGCGAGTGGATTCGGCGGCCCGGCCGGCGCAGTGACAGGTGGACCCGCGGACCCAGGGCGATGGCGACGCTGTGTCTGACCGTGAACTCAGGGGACCCTCCTCTGGGTAAGGGCCCGAGGCCCCGGCCCGGCCGGGTTGCATCAGCCGGGGAGGGTGCGGGGCGGGAAGGTCGCGGCGGCGCCGGGCTGCGCGGTGGCGATCGTGGTCCCGGAGGCCAGGCTTCTTCCTCCCCTCGGATCCCCCACTCTCCCACGCCCCTACACCCCTGAACTCGGAGTCGGCCCCACGCCCCTCGCCTCTGCCTGGGCGAGTGGATCTGCTCCTGAAGCCAGATCTCTGGGGCGCGGAGGGAGGCAGGCGCGGGGCTCAGCCCGGGACCTTTTCTCGGTCGGAGGGACCACTTCCAGCCGACTCCCTCCCTCTTTGAAGCGGTTTTCCCTGGAGAACCGAGAGCTGCTCCTCGTAGGAATAACATTTCTAAACTTCAAACCCCGTTATCTATCCCCTCCCCTTTTAGATCCCTCCCCCAGGAGTCTCTCTATCATCTCTCCTTTCCTCGCTTCCTGCAGGAAAGCTCTCCAACCCGCTGGCTTTGACTCCTCTTTACGTTTCGTTGGGTTCAAAGGGATCGGGGCAGACGGTCACAGCAGCATTTACAGTGTCCACGGAGGAGGTTGCATTTATTTTTTTAATTGGAGGTGACGGGGCCATGACTGGAGCACCACCCCAGCACGCTGCGGGCTGGCGGGGTGGCTTGGCTCCTCGCCCTGTAGATGGAGGATATGTCAGGAGCTGTCATCTTCCTGATACGCCTCAAGTTCAGTTTGGAATTGGATTTGTGTGTGTGTGTGTGTGTGTGTGTGTGTGTGTGTGTGTGGAGAGAGAGCGCTTAGAATTTCTGCTTTTTAAAAAAAACTACTTTGGGAAAGTTGCACGAAATAATTGAGCTTTTTGATCTCGTATTTGTTAATGCCTAGGTATATAGATAGAATAGACACATGGGCACTTTGCTAATGTTTAAGAAGCCCAGATCTTTAAAAAATATTATATATGTATGTGTGTGTGTGTATATATATATAATTTCAGAGAGGAAGGGAGAAAGAGAAAGAAACATCAATGATGAGAGAGAATCACTGATCAGCTGCCTCTCCCACTGGGGATGAGCCTGAATTATGCCCTGATCTGGGACCTAACCGTGACCTCCTGGTTCCTAGGTCCACGCTCAAACATTGAGTCATGCCAGCCGAGCCAGATCTTTGGCTACAGTTGGCCACAAAGGGCTAACAAAGTATGCATTACATTTACCCCGTTGGTGGTGGTCTGAGTGGACTGGAACAAAAACCACAATTGAAAAGCCATTTTAAACATTTTTTTTTAAATGCTATTGCTTTAGCATGTTGGTTCCAGTCATTATGGGCTAACCTCACACGGATCAGTGCACTCTGAAAGAAGTGGGTTTGATTCCCGAGCTGAAAAGCACTAGGCAGTGTGGTCTCAAACGGTTGAGAACAAAGACGTTGGTTCCTGGAGACCTGAGTCCAATCCTGGCCGCCACTTCTTAGTGGCAGGAGCATGGCAAGTCCCTGGTTTGGCTGCCCCCACATTTTCCTTGAGGAAGGAGAAATGCTGTTTTCCACATGGGGCTGGTTGCCAGATCTAAGGGACAAAGGATTAATGAATCCATTTAGTAAACTTTCACATGTGTTGAGAGGCAGATGACACAATGTTTTAGACTTTGAATTCTGGACTGCCTTAGGCCTGCATTCACATACCAATAGCGACATAGGTAGCCAAGGACTGTGGGCTAGAACTCCTCCAAGCCTCACTTTCCTCTCCTGTAAAATGAAGATTAAAAGGTATCTATCTCTTAAGGTTACTACGAAGATTAAACATTTTAAATTCTGTAAAAGACTTAGCACAGTGACTGCCACATAGTAATCACTCAAATACTGTTTACAGTAGCTTGTCTATAAAACACTTTCAATTTTTTCTTGCCTCCTGAAGGAGGGAAAGATTAATTGCAGAGTCCCTAATTTGAAGCTGAACATTTTCAAAAGCAGTTGGGCTGTGCTAGGGAATGGTTTCTGATTTGTTTTTTTTTTCCTCCAAAACCAGAAGACTAGTACTTTCTGTTTATAGACTCGTGGGAAAAAAGATTATCCTTTGCGAGACTTACTATTAGTGTGTTAAGTCATCTTTATTGCTTTGTGATTCAGGTTTTAATTAATACAGTGCTTATGAAGGGAAATCTTTCTATCTTATTTTTAGGTGCTTTGCTGGCAGTAGAACATGTGAAAGACAACGTCAGCATTTTTGTGGAAGAAGGGAAAGAAAATATTCTTCGTGTGTCTGAGTAAGTGCTTTGATATCTTTGTTTTCAGTACTCAACAGCATTTTAAAAACATTCAGGATTAGATGTTGTAGGCTTGTTTTACTTGCTAATTGGTAGATAGTCCCTAGAAAGAAGAATGCTTTTCTTTATTCTAAAAGAACTCTGTTTAGAGACTTATATTTGTAATCTGTTTGAAAGAAAGTAAAAAATAAATAAATACATGAATTTTATTTTGATTATTGTTGAAAGTATATAATAAGGATTTAAAATCCCATTATAATTTACTCTGGTGGGAAATTGTAAGAATTTAAAGTCAATGGTAATAGGAAATGAATTTAGTAAGAATTATTTTATTATCTCATCTTTTTTTCTTTATGGTTTTGGATCTTTTAAAATACTTCTTAAAAAAACAACTTTGATGGGGTTTGATCTTCTATCTTTACCTGGAAGTTGATAAAACTAACTTCTCTCTGAGAATATATCCATGGCTTTGTTGCTTTAATTTATTTTAAACCAGTTATTCTCAATATTCCAATTATATTTTCATATTTGCACCACTGGATAGACATATAGAAACTAATAGGAGGAGGATGCTTCATATAGATAGTCTACTCTAGAATCAGTTTGTTGGATTCAGCTGAACATTTCAGAACAAATTGGAATTTGACAGAAACAGAGTAAAGAACAAATTACATTTTTTGGCTGTGGTAGAAAATACCTGGTAATTGGGAGATTTCTATCTTTATATTTCTTCATAGTCTTGTGAATCTTAATAATTTGCTAGAGCCCATAATATTTTTATCTCATGCTTATGTTCTAGAAATGTGGTCTTCACCGACATCAATTCCATTCTCCGCTACTTGGCTAGAGTGGCACTGA